GGACATTATCGATCGTCCTCTTTTTATTTAAAAATGTTTTGGAACTGGACTCTGTCTCCGAAACGTCCGGAGACAAGGACTAGCTCTATCGATTGGACCCAATTGAACACGCTGCCTGGGGACGGTGACAGTCCAGTCTCCGAAAAACAGTTAACGATTCCACTGAAAATAACTTTGTGTATGCCAGCACTTATAACGCTAACACCCCTACGTAGGCATCACTTTCTGTTATTTCGAAAATATTTAACTTGTTACTTAGAGTCGCCGAAACTACTATATCTCAACAATGGGAAATCAAATTGCAGTTCTTAAAGATGTAGCTTATTAGTTTCACTCATATTCTGAAACATGTACTCAGTTGTAAAACATATGAGGACATCAAATAGAATTTAATTGGAGAGCAATAGCAAATGAAACACAGATGCCTACTTCACAGTTTTTATATTCACATACCAACGATAAATCTACTTGCATTAGCATAATTCAAAATTACTTCTGCACGACATTTGCTTGAAATAAATACGCCAGAAGGAATGTCTTGTAATATACGTATATATAATATATAATATTTATATAATATAAATAGGCCTGGTACTCGTGTGGAGGCGGGGTCGAATACCTCCACCGCGACCCTGCGAGTCGTAAGAGGCGACGAAAAGGGAAGTCTCAAATCTGAGACAGTAAAATGTGGTCGCAAGTCCCAAGGGACTCGGACCCGAGAAAGACTGCGCTGGCAAGGATCAGCAGCGTATACAAAAGACAGACCCGTCCTCTCATCAGAGAGGGCGCCACACAGAAAGAAGACCGCAAATGCCAAATAGTAATAAATGGCTCGTTACCAAGACCTACTGACTGACTGACCGACCGTCAGTCGCAATGTGACTTGGACACAGACTTGTAATGTTCAGATAGGCCGCGCCATAGCTCAAGCGGTTAGTCGCTGGCTTCCCACCGCGGCGGCCCGGGTTCGATCCCGGGTCTGGTCAAGTGGGATGTGTGGTGGACAAAGTGGCGCTGGGGCAGGTTTTTTCCGAGTACTTCGGTTTCCCCTGTAAATCTTCATTGCTCCACAATCACACTCACCTATCATCTGGGGCTGGTACAATAGCCCAGAAGTGGCCGCAGTACAAGGGACTTAGCCCCACCCCACTAGAAATAAAAAAAAAATGTTCAGATTTCTTTAAATTCATCAGGAGCAGAGGACTCTGTTATGAGGTAGCATCTCTGACAGAATAGAAAAATAAAACGATAGTAATATTTAGGTCACGTACGCAATGCAGTTACCGGCAATACAGGGACACAACAGATTATCAATTTTTATGGAGTTACATAGTCGTACCTGCTATTTAAGGAAATGATTAGAAGATTTCATGAACTGGATTAGACTGCAATGTACGTCGCCATTGACGTATGACGAAAACAATGTACAAGGAAAACTGGTGAATAAGAACTTTTGTTTAAAATTGCATTTTTCTATATGGACAATGCATAAGGAGATACAAGGAAATATAATGTTAGGTGAAGTATTTTTGTAAGAACCAAGTCCACTGAGGTAGACAATATAGCAAAGAACAAAATCATATTACGTCCAGCGGAGTACACATTTCCGTCTAGAGACAGGGACTAACTCTATCGATTGGGCCTAACCGAGTAGACTTTTACCTGAGGACAGAAACAAAGTCCAGTCTCCGAAACGTTTTTTTATCAAAAACGGGACGGTGAATACTGTCAATAACATTCAATAATTTTATTAATATGCTCTCTTCACAAACTTTTAGATTCTATTTACCTTCCGTCATTGTTGCTATTGCTTTCTCTTCTTTTCACTTAGCTTATTATTATTTTGTTCTGAAGTTGGTACATTGGTTTTGTTTTCGTGATTTCACGATTTTAGACTTTCTTTGAAAATCAAAAAGGGACGTGTTATGTAGCAGTCAGATGTTTCTGTCTGCATGTCCGCCCGCCACCCTCTATCAGCTTTATACTGCTGACACATTTTCTTCGAGCTCTGCATGGAAGACTGTCATTAAAATTTGTCGAGCAATGCCCGTTTTCAGCCTTATTGATCTCTAATAAAGCCTAGTTTATGTAGTGCCATAAGAGGCCTTTTCCATATGCAGTAAATCGTCGTTTAACGTTCTTGATACGTTCCTTTTCACTGGAACATTACGAGAAACGAGGTTAAGCGGATTTGTTTTTACCATAAGAAACAGAAACAAGTAGGTTACTTTTCTTTGCTTTTCTTTTTTCGCCCCCGTAACATATATTACAATATACACAATATGAATAAGGCTTTAAATACTTGTATAATCTGTTCTATAAACATATGGAATTATAAACTACATTAATGTTCTCTCTCTATGGCTCAACAGCCCTTTGGACTTCGGCAGGTTTTCAGTTTCTTAATCCTATACACAATCGGTAGAACTCTTTGGACGGGGGATCAGCCCGTCGCAAGCCTGCTACCTACATACAGAACTCAAACACAGTAAAACTTAAACAGACATCGAGTGGGATTCGAATCGATGACCCCCAGTGTTCGAGCGGGCGAAGACAATTCATGCCTTAGACCGCGCGGCCAATGTGATCAGCTTTGTTATGATGTACTGTATTCATGGATGGCCGAAAGTGAAGAGAGCAAGGGGTGGGTGGTGGCCCTGTCTCGTCAACATTAAACCCACCCCTTCGACCATTTTCTTAAAATGTGGGTTGAACACGGCGCTGTGTCGAGCTCTGGTTTGAAAATATCAGCGCAACGTGAAACAACGTTAAATGGGGCCATGTTAAGCGAGCACTTACTATATCCCTTAAACCGATCCACAAATTTTGTTGAAATTTAGTATGGAAGATTTAAAAAATTGTCGGGAATTTAGATTTCCAGCCACAGTGATGTATGAAAAAGCCTACTATATATATGTACATAAATTGAATTTTCCATATAGGCCTATCTCACAAACTCTTCCAGGGTTTTTGTTGACATTCGACATGATAGACTATTTTTTCTGGCATTTCATTTTTCGCTTTTATACATAAGCTTAATAGACCTCAAACAAAACCTCTGGTAATTTCGGGTAATAATGGATTTCGACTGCCTCTATGGCCTAATGGTCAGAGGTCCCGGGTTCGATTCCCGAAACTACCATATTTTCTGAGAAGTAGTGGGTCTGGAACGAGGTCCACTCAGCCTTGTGAGGATAATTGTGGAGCTAGTTGAATGGAAAAGTAGCGGCTCCGGTCTAGAAAACCGAAATTAACGGCCGTGGGGATTCGTTGTGCTGACCACGTGACACCCTCTATCCGCCATAGTTGGCACTAACTTCACCGACAGGCGGCGGTCGCTCGGTCGGACTAAAACCATGGAGTTCTTTTTTATGGATTTCATCCTTTTCAATTTTGTTTATTGCCAGATAGAAAACATCGACTTATGTCACGGACACACAGAAGTATGAACGACTTACTTGAAGATTTTATCTGTATGTTTCTACATGGTATAGTAACTGGGTTTAGTCTAATGTCTTTATTCGGTACAGTATATGCAGCCTAGTTTCTATGTGTGCGCGCAGGGTAATACCAACTAGCATGAGATCTCAGCTTTGTTCATTTAGCCACGTCGTGAGTAAAGCCTGCACACTTCGGTAATGAGGGCCACGTGTCACCCACGTTATCACTTTTCAACTTCAATATCGCAAGCAAACGCCATTGCTCGTCGACATCTGGCTTAGCCTATCAGACAGTTGGTACATTCATCATTAAATAGATCACCTTGAGAGATATTGCTACAGTTGATGAGAAATTCCAGACTAGGCCGCGCCTTAGCTCAAGCGTTTAGTCGCTGGCTTCCAACTGCGGCGGCCATGGTTCAATCCCGGGTCTGGTCAAGTGGGATTTATGGTGAACAAGGTGGCGCTGGGGCGGGTTCTCTCCGAGTACTTCGGTTTCCCCTGTCAATCTTTTTTCCACCAAATTCTCCATCATCATAATCACCCGGGGCAGGTACAATAGACCAATCAGTGGCTGCCATGCCGAGTGGACCCAGTTGGACTCCACCCACCACTAAGCGAATTAAAAAAAAGTCAGAATAATCGAATTCCAGACTTCCAGGAAAGGATTATGTGCGATTCCTTCTCTTCTTCTACAACCCTCTCAAAAAGAATATTCACAATTGATATTTGTAGGCAACCCAAATTCGAGAAATCTTCGGTTTTCTGCCTCGGATATATAAAGTATTTTTCTTGTTTTCCATACATTCTTCGAAAAATGTGCAAGATCTGCACTGAATGTGGCCGAAAGGCGTTACAACCCAGAAGAACACAACCTGACACCAAATAGTTAGTTCACAGAGGCACAACCGTTGGCAGCTTCCTTCGCTGTTTGTTATTCGTAATAATGCGAACATTTTAAATTGAATTTTATACAATTTCGCTGCCAACAGCCGTCCTATTCACCGCTGTCATTCCCCAAATTTGGGTCTTCTGTATAGAGATAGGGCTTTCCAGGGCTGGATCTAAGGTGAGGGACGGGAGCGGTAGCCCAGGGGTCTTCACAATGCAGAAGAAACCCCACAGGTTTCGCAGAGACATTTGCTTCTTTTCTCTCACGAAAAGTTAGCTTGTATATTTTGTTATTATAAGAAATAAGAATGAAAGAAATGTCATAACCTAAGTTTATTCTTACTTATAGAGGCAGCCACATTTTGATTACCTCGGAGCCCCCCAACAAATTATAAATCTGGCCCTGAGGCATGTCTTCAACTGGAATTAACTCTACTACATAAAATCTGAGATGTAGTTTCCTGCTTAACTTATGATCAAATTCTGAAAGAGAACAGGAATTTTGAAACGGTATTCATAACCAAATTTATATGGTCATTTTTACTTCCTAGCATGGAGAACTGCCTGAGAGTTCTGTTCAGCTATTTGATGTGGGGAAACAAAAGCTTTAAAGTGAAATATCTGGGCAGATTTCTTTCAGAAACTGTGTTCCAAGTGGGAAGGGAGACAAGCAGGTGGAAGGTTTCTGATTTTCTGTGCACTTACCTTGTTCGTCCTCGCCGTCCAAGTCGACGTGATCCTGCAGAGGACTGGTGCTTCTCCCCGTCACACTGTGTCGGAGATGTGCGAGGTGGATAGCTAGGAGCCGGCCCGCTCGCGCAGACCCTGCCTTAGTCTCGAATTCAGCCCTCGACAGCTCCAGCAACTCAGCACCCGAAGTAGGGAACTTGTCAGCATCTGGCTCAGGATTCAGACTAAACTGTCGTGCTGACCATTTCAGCCACGACCTTACATGGCCTGCGTTCCATTCTGCAGGGTCTGTGGACATTAGTTTAAAAACGTATTGATTTGGGTTGCACGCATCGAAATATTTTGGGCACACTTGAGTTGGCGTAGAAATCGACATATTCTGTGCTTGAGGGCCTTACAGCGTCTTCAGTATCTGAAATAACCGAATATTGGGGTCTAGCGGATAGCGCTCCTGTTCTGTATCCGGGGGAGTTCTGGTTCAGATGCGGCTATGCTGGCTGATGCTTTCGTGACTTCTTATAGTCCCTTCGGATAAACGCCAGAATATCACCTCAAATTAGGCAAGGACCGCTTCCATTCACACATTTGCCACTACATAACCTTCTAATTCACGTTATATTCTGAGCTAACAACAGTATCGTTAAATAAATACGAGTAAATAATTAAACAAACAAGTGACACGGTTGTGAAATAGAGATCACATTTTAAACAAACAGTTTAAACTGACATATAGCTGTGCAGTAAACTATATATTAACAGCCGCAAGAGGATAAATCGCAGGACATGAGAACTGGAATTAATATATCCAGTTAACTCCTAGTCCATAAGCTAATTAATTCTATTTAGAATAAGGAAAACTTGCCTGATGAATGGAAGGAGTTTATTATTGTACCAGTGCACAAGAAGGGCGATAAAACTGACTGTAGTAATTATCGTGGCATATCACCGCTATCGACTTCATATAAAATGTTGACCATTATTCTTCTCTCAAGGTTAAGTCCATATATTGATGAAATTATTGGGTATGATCAGTGTCGGTTTCAATGTAACAGATCAACTACAGATCAGATCTTTTGCATTCGTCAGATATTGGAGAAAAAAATGTGAGTACAATGAGACAGTACATCAGCTGTTCGTAGACTTCAAGAAAGCCTATGATTCAGTCAGGAGGAAAGTATTGTACTATATTCTCATAGAGTTTGGTTTACCCATGAAACTAGTTAGACTGATTAAAATGTGTTTAAACGAAACGTATAGTAAAACCCGTATAGGTAAATATTTGTCTGATAATTTTCCTTTCCACAATGAGCTAAAACAAGGAGATGCTGTATAGCTACTCCTTTTCAACTTTGCTTTAGAATATGTCATTAGGAAGGTCCAGTAAAACCAGGTGGGACCGAAATTAAATGGGACACATCAGCTGTTGGTCTATGCTGATCATGTGAATCTACTGGGTGATAATGTAGATACCATAAAGGAAAACACACAAACTTTAATTGACGCAAGTAAAGAGGTTGATATAGAGTTGGATACAATCAGTATCAGGAAATCAGGAAAACTGTATAGGCCTGTCCTCCACTAAAGTGCGTCAGAAGAGTCCCTGATATGTGCCACCATCAGAGAGAGAAATAGATTTCGCCTCGTAATTAGATAGCTACTAGATTCTATTCTCATCACACGATGGATACCAAATGACCGGGAATGTCACTGGACACTTAGGACTTTCCTTCTGTAAGGCTGCCTACTAAAGGTACCGTGAACTCTCAGAAATATTTTGGACAAAGGACATACGCCAACGAAACTATGTACTTGATGATATCAATTTCAAGAAATGAGGAAGCTTCTATAGGGCTACCCTTCAGTGTACACCCACACAGCCAATGATGCATACAGTTTGACTATCACTGGAAATGTTACAATGTCTGGTGGGGCCGTTACGCAGAACCTCGTGATCTCCTCAGAGAAAGTATTTCTCAGAAGCTGACTTGTGACATTATCTGACTCACAACAGGTTGGTAGTCATGGACCTCGAGCTGAACTCTCTACCGAGTAAATAATTACACCCTCAATTTTCTGGTTACTGGAAAAGAAGATGCCACGCAAGGCTCTTATTATTTTTATTAATCGCAATTTGTGGTATAGACTGTCTTCTGCATAACTCAGCATAAAGTATACGGGCTTATAACATGAACTATGTTATGGATGGATTGTATCAGAGATGTCGCACTGGAGACCTCCTAGAATTGATATGATGTCACACTCACAAAAAGAATCCTGAGTCCTGGAACATTGAACGTTTGGAAGTTACGTCATACGTCTGCCAGCCACAGACTGGTCTTGTTTCATTTTGCTTTTCAATTGCCATTCTCATGACTAACTCAGCGTGCAGCAGAATCCTCAAGACATGATGTTCTTTGTTTCCATACAGAATGACGTGTGGATTGAATGTTGTTACATAACCATGATTCTTGGTAATGCTGGAACCTGCCTTAAGGTCAGCACTGGCATAGGCTTTTCTAATGTGTAATATAGCAGAGATGTGCCAGATAACTTCAAAATTTACTACTTGTAAAGGTTTATAAGGCCGGTCACGGTAGCCGAGCGGTCTAAGGCATGTACTATCTTCGCTCGCTTGGAAACCGGGATCGTGGGTTCGAATCCTACTCAGGGCATGGATGTTTAGTTTGTGTGTGTGTGTGTGTGCGTTTTTCTTTGTTTGTATACAGGTAGAGGCCTTGCGACCAGCTGATCACCCGCCCAAGGAGTCCTACCGAATGTGTAAGACTTAGAAGAACCTTCTAGTAAAATCAGTGAATTTCTAAATTGTTATCAGTAAGAAATACCATCAGTGTAGATCTACCTATGCATAATTATTGACTCCATCATGGGGTGATTACTAAAAATTTAATACCAATGTTAACATGCGAGTAACCACTTTCAAAGACGAACTAGGAGTTGGAAATGAATTGGTTCATATCAGCATTAGATGATTATTGGTTTCTCTCAGGTACTGAAATTGCTGTGCTATATTATTGTGCTACACATTTTGAGAATGTTGTGAAGGAGTAACTTCCAGGATTGTGGGAGAAATTTAGTTAACCTATTCCATAACAGTATATGTTCTGTTCTTCATAAGCCATAGAGGTTTGGTGCAGTTTAGTGAGGAAAAGTGTAGTATTCAGAAGACTTCATTTTTAACTAACTTCATGCAGCATAGCCCTCTTTGAGAATCTAATACTTTCTCAAATGATAAAAAATGTCTCCCACTTTTATGGAATCCGAAGTTTCATTACCGTGCCCACAAAAAGTCGCAATTGGTCCCTCTTCTGAATTAGATGAAACCAGTCACTGTGTTCATGTTGTATTTATTCTTTCCAGTTTGGTTTAATAATACCCTTCTAAGTACGCCAGGTAACTCTCTTCCCTTCAGCTTTTCAGACTAAAATTCTGTATGAATTTCCTATAGCTCCCATGTATGCTACATGCTCTGTTCATCTTAACTGCGAATTATGAAGTTCCTCTTTATGCGTTTTTTCCCAGTTTTCTATTAGGCTACTTCCTGCCTTTTAGGTCCAAACATTCTCCTCAGCACCCTGTTATCAGACATCCCCAACCTATGTTATTCTCATAATATAAGAGATGATGTTCCACATCAATGTAAAGCAATAGGTAAAATTGCAGTCTTATGTATTTTAATTTATATTATTATTTGTTAATTGAAGCTGTAACACAGAATTAGTCCAGAAGTAGATGTACCTAAATAAAAATAACTGAACCCCTAGCTTGTACGTTAAAAAAAGCACTTCACAGCCATGGTAATGTGGTCTTACTCACCAGATGGGACAAGTACCAGGTCTTCGTTCGTACCCTTCTCGTCATCCTCACTACCCCTATCTCCTGTTTTGTCATTTTCCTCGCTTGTACTTTTACTTGCCGAAGATGTCTCCACGCCCGACGTCACACAGTTCTCGGAACTAGTCTGGTAACCGCTCTCCTCTGATATACCTCGTTGCATTTCCTTACCACGGCTATTGGTACAACTGGACATTCGGCACTTTGTCCTATTTCTGCACGTTTTTTCTCTCGCTGTTGAAGCAGTTGTGGATATATTTTCAACACACGGTTCGGTATTACATTCCTTGTACACTTTTGAACCTCCTTCATCGCTCTCTTCCCCAACATCCCTTGTACTAATTTCTTGCCCACTAACATTTTCTGCGTCACGTTTCGATGGCGAAGCTTCGAGAATCTCACAGCTCCTCTCTTCGTTATCGTACGGCTGTAGCTGTGTGACGTCACTGGCTGATGGAGATAACATAAAGTCCATACTTCCATTCTTACACCTGATCTGCGGGTCCTCCTCTAGAGTCGTGACAACGGTGTCACAAGAAGTAACGGACTCCGGAGAGCCGAAGAGGAAACTGCAAAGCAAAGCTGGTAAATCTTCAAGCGTTGCCTCAGGAGAGGATGAAAGCTCGCTGTTGACTGTAAGAAAAGACTCGTCTGCTACCGTTTCACAGTTGCTGGTACTGTTGCTAGGGAAAACCGAACCCTGAGGCGTCGGAGATTTTGAAATAGACGAGAGCCCGTTCACGAATTCAGCACACGTTGATATGTCTTGATTCACTAAGGACGAAGTTCCGACTCCACTGAAATGAATTGGCAACAGTTCTTTCACGTCTTCCGTGGATGGTGGATTGTGTATTAAGTCTTCTGATGGTGACGAATTACTCCTCAGAATTAAATGGTTACGATCTGATGACGTGTTCACGCACAGAAACCCGTTCACAGTATCCGCTGAACTCAATATCTTATTCAGATCCTTAGTAGAGTCTTGGAACTGCGATAACAAGCCTCTGGCCACCGCATAAGCTGCAGCAGATGTAGCGGACTTGCCAGCATCGCGTGGCGTTGGTGCTGGTCTCACTAAAGTACCGACGCAGACTGATATGTCCTCATATCCTGCTTTACCGTTCAGTAACAGAAATGAGTTTTCTGATTGCCTAACATGATTCTCATTGTGTATAACGTCACTGGATTCGTCAGCTTTCGGTTGATGACTAATGATGGCGACATCACTGGCTGCCTGTAGTAAGGGGTCGCGTATGTGTTGCACACTGCCGCCAGAAAGTTTCAAGGAAAGGCTACGGCTGCTGTTGAGGCTGGTGCAGCGTAGAACCCGTTCCTGTTCCATCGCATTGGTGCCTGAGCGGAATCAGAGATACGCACGATTCAAGCGGCGATATTGAAGTTGGCGTAGCGTACGCTTACTGCACTCATACCAAGGAGAAGATGATTTTAAGGATGTTTCATTTTCTTCTTCCTCCTTTTTGGTTATCCCACTACTTCCCCTTCTCTTCCTTGTGATCATCTGTGACTGGTTTAAATTAAGCGCTGTGGGTGGAGCTGCAGATAGACAGGAAGGAAAACAAAACATTAAAACGAAAGGATAAAGCTAAATAAAGATTAAAAAGATATCTGACCATCTGCGACTAACGGCAGGTGCAAGTTTGCAACCACAATAAAAAGTTTAATTGTACATAATATTGGATGTAAAAAACAAATTATAAAAATATTTCCTAAAATAGCTGTTACAGAGAATTTATAGCACACGTTGTTAGTGACGTAATATGCTGTATAACTCCTTTAGAAGAGGCAAAACAAAAACAAAGGTCGTTTAGTGAGCGTGTGATGTAATAGGATTAACAATACTTACAGAAACTCAACTCTGTATGTGGGCGTTCCGTACTTTATTATATTAGGCGGCCATGTTATGGTGCTTCTTTGTATACATATATCCCCACGAAACTCTCTAAGTATGGAAAAAAAAAGTTTCTGTCTGTTCTTGTGATTGGATAAATGGTTAGAGGGGGTGGTCCGTTCTCCTGTTTAGCTGGTCGAACAGTACGATTTAAGGAGATAGTGGACCTACTTTTCCATAGCCACCTCCGTGACAACTTGCAAATCCAGACTTTGTTACAATTTGAAGGATCTGATCTCACAGCGGCGGTTTTGAAGAGTGTTGCTTTCCGGGATACTCCATGTAGCCCGTTGAAAGTCAACCAACGTTTCGGAGAAATATGTCGCTTCCATCTTCAGGTTCGAAGTATAAGCCAAACAAGAAACCAGCGTGCAAGCAAGTGCCAAGTAGATCTTTATGTTCCTCCGAAACGTCGGCTAGCTTTCAACGGACTACACGGCGTTATATCCCAGAAGATAGGACCCTTTTATCTTATAATTTTATGATACAATTGACTGCCTCTTCAGGGTTTCGAAAATTCATATTTTTTTCATGGCGGTACCTATTGCTAGCTTCCATATCCTACGAAAACAATTAATTTTTTACTGTTCTTACGTTTAAATTTTTGTCAGTATTGACAAAAACAGTCATTACAAAAATTTACTCACTCGTACTATAACAAATAAAGATATCAATGTGCTTAATTGCTAATCATGAGATGAAGAGGCATGACGAGTGGTGATTCAGCTCCTAGCCTACTTATCCCTGGCAATAGACGGAAACCGAGTTGTCAGGTTAAGGCTCAGGCCGATCTAACCCGGTATGCATTGTCTAACCCGTACAATAGATCTATTTAACTGATAAAAATAGAAGACTGTTTCAATAAAATTGCTACAAAATTGCACTAATTGTTCCAATGCAGTTTTGACTCTAAGGGAATTGGGCTCTGTTGAAAGTAACACGAGTGTATCTGTCAGGAACATTAAATACATTGGTATATACTCTTTAAAAACAAATAACGGTATGTCTGCTACTGGATTATATTACCAGATCGTAACAGAAGTCCGGGTTCGATTCCCGGCGCTACCAGATTTTCTGAGAAGTAATGGGTCTGGAACGGGGTCCACTGAGCCTCTTGAGGATAATTGAGGAACATTTTCAAGGAAATAGCGGCTACGGTCTAGAAAACCGAGATTAACGGCTGTGGGGATCAGTTGCGCTGACCACGCGACATCCTCAATCCGAAAAAGTTGGCACTAACTTCGCCGACAAGCGGCGGTCGCTCGGTCGGTATAGTCAGCTTGCGGACTAGAATCAAGAAGTTTGACTGAAAATGCACACGGTATAGAAATATTATATTATAATATTGTAACATTATATGCATTTGTAATTTATTTAAATGTTTAAATATAATATCAACGTTTCAAACAGTTTTCGTTATTTTCAGTTAGAAATAATTTACAGTCATACCAACAGTCATATGGTGAGTCACAGCAGTTAACGAATTGTGGAGACAGTACCATAGCTGGGCAGTTCGTCGCCGGCTCCCACAACGGAGGCCCGGATGCGAACCCAGATTAGGTCACGTGGGATTTCCGACAGACAATGTAGCACTGAGGCAGATTTTCCCGAAGTACTATGGCTTCCCCTGCAAGTTTTCATTTCACAGACTGCTCCACGTTTATTAACCATCTTATCATCGATGCTGATACTGAGAGCTTAATTAAACAGTCAAATAAAAATTACCGGTTACACTTAGGTGATACAAATCCTAACGGAAAGAAACAAAGCGTAGGCCTCTCTTTAAAATTTGTGTTTGTAATTTCAGAGTTTTTTGATAACACACGCCACTGTACGCGATAAATATGTCCTATGTATGTATGTCAGCAGGCAGTTTGATTACAAATATTTTTACCGTTTCCCACAGTAAGAAACAACCGAACATAGAAGAGTGCAGACTGCAATGTCTCATGGTCTGGGACCGCAGTTTGCCGACCCCTCCCGTGATTCACAAACTTCATTCCTGTATGTGTCATAGACACATTATGCCGTATTTTGTATTCCAGTCCACTAAAACAACAGAAAGGAATCATTAAAAATGTTTGTTACCTAAAGTAAAAACATATAGATCACAGATGTCAAACATGTCGCAAGGAGGCGAAGAAACGACAAGTCCAGAAATCAAAACAACTAAGTAATTGATGTACTTTGATATGTACGTCACAATAATATCCTTCCTGGACATTCATCTTATTAAACAGGATCACAAAGATTAAATATTATATTCTTATATAATTATCTACATGGAATTGAGTCCTTGAGAAGTTAGTAATCACTAGGATCCTCGAGAAGTCCTGAAGATTCCTTACCGCACTCACAAGAGCCCGCCACTAGTCCCTGTACTGAGCCAGATGAATGCAGTTCATACCCACCCTGCTCCTTGCAGATTATCCCATATATGCCTAGATTTAGCATAAAGTCTCTACCCTTCCGGTTGTATCTTTTTAGTCAGAGTTTTATGGGAATTTTTCACCTTTCGTCATGTACATCTCACCTTCCTGAATTGAATTACTCTACTAGCATTTGGTGCCGAACACTGTGGCCGCGTCGTCAGAGGCTTGAACTTTCTTCGCCTGTTGGAACACTGAGGTCGTGGGCTCGAATCACACTCAAGGCATGGAGTCTGTGTGCGTTTATTCTGTGTTTGTGTTGTAATGTGTGTAGGTAGCGGCCTTGCGACCTGCTGATCCCCCGTCCAAGGAGTTCTACCGACTGTGTATAGATTAAAAAACTGAAAAAGCTGCCAAGGTCCACAAGGGCTGTAGAGCCATATACAGGCAAATAGTATTAATAGGTAGTATGTTTGGAAATTATGAAGTTCCTCGTTTAATCCTTCTCATCAGATTTCTATTCGTTCCTCTGTCTTACGTCCAAATATTCTCAGCTGACTATTCCTAATGCCATTATCTCACGTTCTTCCCTTCATGCGATAATCCGCGTTTCACACACATGAAAAGAAAATGTGACGTTACAGTTCTGTAAATTTAACATTTACGTTTTTAGACATACCTTACAAAGTAGAAACAGAAAATCTTATGTAAAGGTGACGTTTGTCTGTCCGTCTATCCTTCTGTTTGTGACATAGAATCAGCGACTAAACCATTGGACAGGTGTTCTTCAAATTAGAAGCAAGGGACTTTCACTAGAAGTTTTCAGGCAATTCCAGTTTTCAGTGATATCGGACGATAATAGAGCCTGGTTTATACGTGTACTATACGTATAAGGCTCTATATGGACTTTTCCATGTATCCGATAAAATTTTAAAGGATTTTAAAATTAGAACTAAAGATTTTATAGTGCTACTACATGTACGTCAGAATTAACGTGTGTAAAGTGATCTACATCCAGACAGATATCAACGAAGTAGATGTTGATAATAACAAGGAAAGTGTTTTTAAATGTTAAATTTTGAGCTGGGTGCAGTGTGACAGCAACGTGAGTGTTATACACCTGATGATGGCCGTCTGAGGCCGAAACATGTAATGTAAAGGAGCAAGATCAAGGACACATAATATATTGTTTGCACTTGGGACGGAATTTGTATCATTATATCATTTCTCCGATAACCTGCTCCACAGATACTGTTGAAATCCAACGTGGGAAACTTCTCCCAAGCATTGTTGGGAAATTCGATTTTCAGCTTGTTGTTTCCAATTGTAGTTGCGTTTATGTGAGGTTTTAAATAGTCTTCTCCGTGTTTTCTATAAACCATTTCACAGATATTGTTGAAAATCAATATGAGAAATTTTCACTGATATGTTGGGTTTTTGGACTTTATCCATCGTCCTGGTTTTTAAAATAACAAAGAAAAACCAGGACGATGGATAAAGTCCAAAAACCCAACATATCAGTGTGTTATACACCATCGTCAGAATCCTATAGTAACTACTTGAGAAATTTTCACTAAATATTTTCAATCAATTCAGATTTCGAGCCACATTGATCCATAAGAAAGCCGCTTACAGTAGCCGAGCGGTCTGTCTTCGCTCACTCGGAAGCCAGGATCGTGGGTTCGAATCCCACTCATGGCATGAATGTTTGGTGTGTGTGCGCGTGCGAGCGTTTTCCTGTGTTTGTGTTGTCATGTGTTTAGGTAGAGGCATTGCGACGAGCTGATCACCGCCCAAGGAGTCCTACCGTCAGTAAAATGATCAAGAAACTGAGAAATCAGTTCTGTACTCCAAAGTGGGAGCAAGAGAGATCCATAACAAAGTCTGGTTCACACAAGACCATAATTGGATTCTTTTTCTATATCACATTATCCCTTCTACAGGATCTTTTTAAATTCCACATAAAAACTCTCGGAAGAAGTTATTAGGCATTTCTATTTTTAGCCATACTGCTCCTTAATAAAGCCTGATTTGCGTAAGACTATAAATGGACTTTTCCACATATTACATAAACAGTTTCATGGATGTTGTTGACATTCAGAATAGAAGTCGTCC